CCAGAAACGCTGACCAATACATTTCTGCTTTAACATGTAAGCAGTTAGCACAGAAGTACATGAGAGTTCACAAGATGGAGTCTGGGGGTTTCAAATAGGCCCAGAGCAAAAGAGTTTCATCGACACCTTGGCTTTCCACTCTCCCGAGTTACCTGGTAGCTATGCCTAGTGGATCCCAACAGTAAGCAAGAGATGTGTTGGACCAGAAATCAGTGGACTAAAACTGGTGTGTTGGAAATCAGTGCCAACTAGTGAACAGAATGAGGGGATGAGCTGTTCTGCCTCTCACTCCTTTTTTGAAGTTTTAAAAGGAAAAAAGACTTAGGGAGGAGGATCTAATTAGTTAGATGGGAGACAGGTGTACTGAAAGCAGCGAGTTTCACCATCATGTCTGCCATTCTCACTGACGCCTGGGACCCCAGGATCTACCATGACACCATTAGGCCTTTGTCTTAATCCTGAGAAATTCCCTGCCTCCCAGAGAGAGGGACACAGATAACATTGCTACCTCCACCAGCTCTGGGATGTGAGACTTTTGTTCCCCTGCTGTTATGCACCCACCCCGTGTTCATTTTCCTTCCTCACATTATTGCTTCCTTTTCCTATCTCTCGCTTTTTGCCTTCTGGTTTAGTAAGTGTCTGGCTTAGCCAGCCAAGACTGCATCTTTTGCACCAATGCTATAAGCCCACCAGAGAGGCAGGTAAAAGTAATGCCTTAAACAGCCCAATGTTAGTACAAGTTGGCCAAGTCTCAGAGTGACCAATAAGACGACGTGCTGTACCACTGTTTCTCCAGCAGTGAGGTTGCAAGTGAGAGTCAGCATCAAAGACAGAAGCTGCATGTTCTCTCTTTGCTGTTCTTTTCTCTCCTCTTTTGTGTTTGTCTCATTTTGTCTTCTAGGAAACAGGATCAGACTTCAACAGTTTGTCCAAACCATTTCACTGAGCTTCTCTTTTCTCAAAAAAGGTCAGTTAGTACCATTTTTAATACCATTTCGTAGACTGTTAGAAAGGAGGTTTTTCTTCTAAAAAAGTTTCTAACTAAAGGGAACGACAATAAAGCATATTGTTAAAATGAAAGCCTCACGTAACACTTTACTTTTCAAATGCTTTAACGGTTTTTCTCTTTCCTGTACCCTGAGTAAAAGGTAAACAATTTTTAGTCATATGTTTGGGACTAAACAGGAGGAGGTCTCTCTATTCCCAAAACTCAGACTCATGTTTGACTGTTGACCCTGTCACTGTACCATGCTTATGTTAATACCTTTGATCTCTGGGCCCATTTAGTCTATCAAAATTAACACAGCAGTGCTCTGATTTGCTGTTTGCTGCTTAATAGGATGTAATCAGGCAAGACAGTCCTCTTTAAAGTGATAATTTAAAGAAGTTTTTTATTTCTTTCCTCCATCAGCTGGTAGGATTGTCTATACTGGCCTACTTTTGGATTACGAGAACTCACGTTTATTTTATTTAGATTTTTTTAAAGACACCTCTTCAAGCGTCTTAATATAATTAATCATACAATTAAATTAGACATTGAAATCAATTCCACAGGAACTTGGCTAACCAGTCAACCAGCCTATCCCCTTAATCATCTAAAAACCGCCACCCAACCCAGACTTCTCCAGAGACCCTATCACAGGGGTCGGCAACCTTTGGCACGCGGCTCACCAGGGTAAGAACCCTGGCGGGCTGGGCCAGTTTGTTTACCTGCCGCGTCCGCAGGTTTGGCCGATCACGGCTCCCACTGGCTACGGTTCGCTGCTCCAGGCCAATGGGGGCGGCGGGAAGGTTGAGTCAGTGTCCATGTATGACTTTTTTTTTTTAATCTTTCCAAGAGTGCTGTTTTTGCTGTTGGGTGTTGTCAATTTTCAGAGCAACTCTCCGCCCACAATGCAAGATCACACATGTCACGTGTATTCATGGTTCGGGGTACAAACTCTTTTAGAGCCTGAAGTTCTTCAATAACTGCTGCAGACTGGCAAAGATCCACAATCTCTTGAACATGAACTACTACTATGACCATTCTCCTCAGTAAAAAAATGAAATGTAATCCTCACTGTGTTCAATGTAATAAAGAGCTGGATTGAACCAGCTGTTCCATCTGATTATACTGAGGTTGGTGGGATGGAAGGATTTTTCCCTCTTTCTGTTAGAAACATACGGGGACCAGGCTTTTCTGCCAGGGTAGGCAGTGAAAGCACGTTTTACAGGCATAAATTCATTTACTTTCAAAAGTATCTTCCTCCACAGATCACCTGCAAGGTTAAGCAAATGTGCCATGCATGTAAGATGTACAGCATTTATAAAATAAAAGGTTTCAAACCTCAATCCCAAGCTGTCCCCATGTGCATGGCATTATTGGTCACAAACGCAGAGATGCAATCAAATGGTATTTTGAATTTTTCAACAGTCCCCCATATTGCGCAGCTGACTATTTTAAAATCGACTGCTTCCAAAACTTCACAATGGAAAAGAAAACATCCAGCTTGTGTTGATCTGCATCTGAAGTCCCTGCATTTTCACTGCTTGTTGGGATAGGGACAGCAAGAATGTTAAGTACATACCTGTCTTCAGCATCAGTTGTTTCATCTGTCACAATGCTAATTCCTTCACAGGACTGCAACTTTTTCTTTAATTCTTCAACGTGACAGTCCAAACACTTTGAGCAGGTAAAACTTTCTAAGTTGATCTGCACTTAGTATAACACCTACCCTGCTCTCTAAAAACTCTATCGGCTTTGGATTGTCCCATCATATGCAGGGGTGTATTTGCAGCAGACAAGGCTTCTGTTAATTTGAAAACTTCATTTCTCTTGTAAAGCTGCTCCTTGGTCTCGGTATTAAAGAGCTGTGTAACTGTTTTCTGCTTTTTAAAATGTCTATCTTCATCCATTGCCTCTTGTTTGTGTTTACAATTTGCACTTCCAACATGCTTATCACAACTAGCCTTTCTTGTAAAATCAACAGGTACATCGCATGAGGTACAAACATCTTTCCTCCACTTCCATGGAATGTTGCCACTTTGCTCATTTTTTTGTTTGCTGCTGTTCTCTTTGTCTTACTTCAAATAAACTGCTATAACCCCTTCTTGTAGGAAATGCATGGCTCTTTTTTGTGAAATTCCACATTGCTCAGGGCCCTGGTTAGACTCCCTGGGCCAAAGAGAAACTAAGGAGTCGACCCTGAGAGAAGGTGCCTGTGACCTCTCTGGGGGCAGAGCCACCGCTAGGCAGGAAAGTCTGACCCACAGACTGGACGGTGTGTCAGGAGGTGCTCCCTCCCTGAGCCCCGACTCCATGGGCCTGTCAGCCTTAGTCCCCCACCCCCAAGAGAGCAGACAACTCCCACCTGCTGGGAAGCTGGCTGACAACTCCTCTAGCAGTGACCTTGCAGTTCCTGCCCCCTCCACCCGCAGCAACTAAGAACTGCAGGGCCCATGCAGCAGCTGCAGACAAGAGCAGCAGGGTGTGCCACAGGTGGCAGATAAGAGCGGGGTTCCCGCTGCCCACCCTGGCTAACAGCAACGAGCCCTCCTCCTGCCTCAGCTGATAGCAGCAGGGCCTTCACTGCTGGCAGTGGCTAAGAGCTGCGGGCTCTGCTGCCTGTCACGGCTCTCAGAGCTGCAGGCCTCCCGCCGCCAGCCCCAGCTCACAGCAGCAGGGCCCCTGCTGCCCACCTGCCCTGGCTGATAGCAGCAGGGCCACCGCCCACGGTGGCTAGGAGCTAAGGAGTCCGAGGGAGTGAGAGCTCCCGCCCCCCACTGGCGGCTGAGAGCTCTGGGACCCCAGCTGCCTGCAGCAGCTGAGAGCTCCAGGGCCCCCTGCAGCCTCCAGACTCTGATAGCTTTGGCCCCACTGCCCCAGGCACGGGGCTGAAGCTGAAGAGGATAATGGTAGTGACGGAATCCATGACTTCCATTACAAAATCTTACCATTAGTGATAAGGTCACTGTCCTTGTGAGCAAAACCACAAACTGTGTATTATACCAATAAGTGGGGTTACAATGGAACTTAGTTCTTTATTTCATTCACCACCTCAAACTAGTGCTACAGAGATGTTATTGAATATTTTACAAGCCCTGTTACATATGTCTTTGCTGATGGACATTTTAAAAAAAATCGAATACCGAATGCATTACAAACATTACAACCCCAGCGCATAAAACAGATTAATTATGTTAACTTATCTGTAAGTGGGAGTTTTGGGAACAAACCTAGGTGCTGCAGACCATCATTAGAAGTAGGTTTAGTGCGTCTTACTGAACTATTGCTTCACTCAAACTTCAGAATGAATGCATTTAACAAACACTCCTTGAAGTATTTGATTTTTCTTGTTATATTAAAATTTCATTTAATAATCAACTTCACCCAGTGTTTGACATTATGAAACATGGTGTACAAATAGGAAGATCTATAAAAGCTTTTGCTTTTATAACAAACAACAGTGTTAAACATGAAAAAGATATTTGAGGGAAACGGGCTAACCTCCACTTTGGCATGAGCAGGAGCAATTTACATTGACTTTAATGAGAGCAGCATCTGCTTATACCAGAACTGAATATAATCCATTTTAAAATGTTTGTGGATCCAGCTGTTTCACTTTGTTTTGCTTTGTAGAGGATTAACAGGAAAAAAAGTATCTTTGATTTGCAGAACATGAAAGCAGTTCTGCGTAACTCCACTTGTAAGTTACTCTGAAATCATTAGCCCACAGCAGCCCCAAACTGAGCATTAGTTAATAAACAGGCTAGAAGGCAGCAGCATCCAGTGGACAGAGCATGGAACTGTTAGCTCTGGTCTACACTGGGGGAGGAGGCGGGGGGTCGACCTAAGATATGCAACCTCAGCTATGCAAATAGCATAGCTGAAGTCGGCATATCTTAGGTCGACTTACCTGGCCGTGAGGACGGCGGTGAGTCGACTGCTGCCGCTCCCCCGTCGACTCTGCTTCCACCTCTCGCGAGCTGGAGTTCCAGAGTCAACGGGGAGCGCATTCAGGGATCGATTTATCCATGTCTAGATGAGACACGATAAATCGATCCCTGATAGATTGATCTCTACCCGCCGATCCGGCGGGTAGTGAAGACCTGCCCTTAGTCAGAAGACCTGGGTTCTATTCCCAGCCTGCTGTGTGACATTGTGCGAGTTATTTTACCACACTGTCTGTTAAATGGGGTCAATTCTTATCGTTTTCTGTAAAGCATCTTGAGCTACAGTGCCAAGTAACTAACAAAGTTACTCATTACTGAAAATGGAGTGTGGCATATCAACTTCTTGTTCTTGTTTATTGCGTGACTTGTCTTTTTCCCATAAGTCTGTTTCATACAGAATATTCACCAAAGAGAAAAAAATGTGCTAGGTGAAATCTTAGTACATGACAACAGCTTAAGTTTTCAAAAACTTGAGAAGAGAAAAAAATTAGATTCTGACTAGCTTTAAGAGTGCAGCAGAAATACATTAATTACAATTTGCAGCAGCAGTACCAATAAAGTTTAAGTCTAGAGGAGTAAACCTGATACCATTCTTAGATCACATCTTCATTGTGAAAGAAAATATTTATGTTCTTTCTGATACCTAAGGCAGTGCTATCAGGATTTATTTAATAATTGCACCCAGCACTCTAAAGTATTATTAGTTTAGAGCTAAAAAGTAACATTTTTCTTTGCATTCCGTGTATTCTTTATGGAGATTTAACTTTGATCTGCCCAAATACCTAGCACTACTTTAATCCTGTTCATTGTTGCAAAGCTGTTGGACAGCTGATTTTGGATGTTCTAACAGCATGATTGACTTTTCAGAGTTTTCTATATTTCTAAGCAGAGTCTCTAGTCTCCTTTTGATTTTCTTTTGATCTTCAATAGCGCATCCAATTACAACAGACTGAAATTTCTGATCAATGGGTCCAGATGGTACCTCAGATGTGCATGCACCATAAAGTGACATTAAACGGCTTTTGGAATCTTCCAGATCATCAAGGAGTTTATTGACTACTTCATCAATCATCCTTGTGGCGTGCAAAAGGGATTCCTGCTGCTGTGGGTTTCGTATTGTTTCTACAGAAACCTCAACAGTGAGGGTTCGGCCCATCAGACGACTGGCAGTCAGGCAAAGTTCTTCTCTTTCACCTAAATTTTAAAATAAAATGTTCTGATTTACAAACTAGCCCTTTTAGGTATGAACAGCTTTACACATACATTCAAATTTCCCTAGTGTACATAGTATATACACATCTCTGCTGTTAGTTTGCAATAAAAATATTTTTAAAGTAGATCAGAAAGTTTAATTGGTGATTCTATTTTGAACAGTGACTGTAAAAATGAAGGAGTCCTAAATTTGTGTCTCAATGTTACACCAAATGTACTCCGTTTACAGGTACAATCTAACTACCAGCCTTTCTACCAGTCCTTGAGAGTCAAACTCAGTTCCTCCATCTCGTGCATTATCTCCAATAATAATGGTACTGCATGCTAAATTGGACCCTCTTTGACACCTGGCCAAGCTCATTCTTTCAGCTGGCTTGCATGCATATAACTGCCTGGACCTTATTAGACAAGTCTGTTGATGATGCACAAAATGGAATAGAATCCTGCTTCTTAATATTAGTTGTGTTGGCTCTGCAGTGCAAACAGCAGTAAAAAAAACCAGTAAAAGGTTATGCATTACTGCAATGAGGCAATATACTGCTTTTGTTCAGAGTCCTATCTGAATAAGAGTATACCACTTTCACAGTCATTTCCTGAGCTGAATTACACTTCAGTGCTTCTTTTTCTTCATGATAGGAAAACATATGAACTAAGCCACTACAGTCACAGCATCTACATAAACTTCTAGCAGAGCTACAAAAAAAATTAAATACGTATTTTGCTACATAAAATAAAACTGGATAAAGAGCACCTTATTGGACTTGTTGCATTAGTTCTTGCATGCTATGCAGTAGTGCAACTAAGCATGGAGAGAAGGGGTAGATTGGTTTCTTAACTTATTAATGTTTGTTAATCATAGAATATCAGGGTTGGAAGGGACCTCAGGAGGTCATCTAGTCCAACCCCCTGCTCAAAGCAGGACCAATCCCGCACTAAATCCCCAAATGGCCCTCTCAAGGATTGAACTCATAACCCTGGGTTTAGGAGGCCAATGCTCAAACCACTGAACTATTCCTCCCCTGTGGCATAAAATGAAATGTCAGGAAGGGGCTATGATTTGATCTTCCACTGGCTGCGTGAACTGTATTTTTAGAGCACTGCTCACAGGGATAACATAATAGATCCTTGTGGAACCCTACATGAGAGATTTATCGGGGCAGATAAATAACTGAGGCTTGGTCTACACAAGGAACTTATGTCGGCATAACTACGTTGCTCAGGAGTATGGAAAATCAACATCCCTGAGTGACGTAGTTATACCTACATAAGTTCCTAGTGTAGACAGCATTATGTCGACGGGAGGGCTTCTCCCGTCGACATAGCTGCTGCGTCTCGGGGAGGTGGAGTATCCACGTGGACAGGAGAAGCTCTCCCGTCGGTATAGGTAGCATCTTCACTAAGCACTATAGCTGCACCAATGCAGTGCTGTAAGTGTAGACAAGCCCTTACTCAGCATCACCCTCTGCAATCTTTCAATAAAAAGAATGGTACCTCTAATGAGCCAGCCAGTCTGCCCCAATTAGTGTCTGTTAGTTAGATAACATCACCTCATCAGCTGCTATTTAGATTTTTCAGAAGTCTTTGGACACCTGACTTTTCCTTATGGCTACAGTGGAAGCAGATGAAATATTTTCTTCTAATGGAATACAGCATATTTCAAGTTTGAGAAGGTATTCCCTGTACTTATAATGGGGAATACTGCTAGCACCAAAAATATCTTACTTTACTTTATGTTTTTTACTAATAGGCACACGCACCCGTTGTATGAGTGAGCATCTAGTACAGTTTCCATGCCATATTCTGTCAAAAAACAAATAAAATTAAAGTAACCAGGAAACCAAAGGACGATGTCCAGATGATATCAGCCTTGCTGTGTCACAACCTTCTTGATACTATTACACAAAAGAGGATGGTTAAAAACAGGGCGAAATCAGCAAGATCACCACTGGCAAGAGACTTGTTTCTTTAGCTGTCTGCTTAAGAACTGCTTGTTTGACAGACGCTAGTACCCTTTCTGCTATTGGGGGACAGTACAGATTGTAACCAATGATTAATAGAATACTTCCCTGCTTGGCTTTTAATAAACATAGTGGGCAAAGTCCCATTCATCCAATGGATGGTCACCTGAATATCAAGGTAACCTGTGAGGATTACATATAGGAAGAGGCTGCTAAGAAATCTCTGTAAGAGCAGAAAGGATAAATACGACTGCCTAATAGGCCAATTCTCCCCTTTAGAGACAACTGAAACTCAATTGTGTCCATCAGTTTCCATATGTCTAAATAAAGTCCTCCCCCACCAGGAGCACAGGTGAGCTGACCCTGACTTTGAAAAGGAGGTGATGGGCTGGGCATGACAAAAGGGTAATTTTCACATATGCAATAATGCTTACAGCAGTCCCCTATACTGAACTAGGATCTGAATTTGAATAGTCAGGTGTAAAAGGCTACTAAGGTGACAGGATCCATCTAACACTACATTACCTCAAACAGACTTACATTTATTCTTTTCCCTCACCGCTTTCAAATAGTTCAACTGAGATGCACGTAAAACACATACACTAACTGTAATTTAGGATTGTATCCACTGATTTCTCCAAAACAAGTTTCAAATGAGAATCTAGGAAAAGGCAGACTCTCACCTTCACTGATGTGCCTCATATCTTGGCTGTTCTGTATATTGTGGATCATTTCTAGCAGGGTTTCTTTTTCTTGTTCCATAGCAGAGGCTGCATCACGCAAGGCTTCAACCCTGAGTAAAGTTGAACCAAGCAGAAGAAAAAAAAATCTATATATAATAAAGTCACTTCAGCCACATAACATGCTCTCAGTGTTTCTTTGTTTTTTTCAGTCTGCCCTGTCAGTTAGTTTTAGCAACACTGCAGTGTTGTCAGACAAATGACATGACTGCCAATTCAGGGCAATATCAGGTACACCTATACCGTGATAAAAGACCCACAGCACACCCACTGCTAGCGTCGGTCAGTTGACTCAGGCTTGGGCTGTAAAATTGCAGTGTAGATACGCAGGCATGTGCTGGAGCCGAAGATCTGAGGTCTGCGATGCGGGAGGGTCTCAGAGCCTGGGCTCCAGCCTGAGCCCAAATGTCTACACTGCAATTTTTAGCCCTCCAGCCTGACCCCAAATCAGCTAACCTGTGCTCTGAGAGTTGAAACCACAGGTATTTTATCACAGTGTAGACGTGATAAAAGGACCATCAAGTCCTTCTATGTAAAAATGTGCTAAGAGAAAAGCTAGGATTACCAACCCTCCAGGATTGTCCTGGAGTCTCCAGGAATTAAAGATTAATCTTTAGTTAAAGATTATGTCATGTGATGAAATCTCCAGGAATTCATCCAACCAAAGTTGCAACCCTAAGAAAAGCTAGCAAACTCTCTGCAATTTCCTGTGCAGAAATCCCAGGGTACTAAGGGGATAAGGAGTTAGCAGCTGCATGGAACATAAGGATTCCTGGGGCATCTTGGATCCTCCGCAGTTCTCAGAGCATCAATGTGGAGTCACTGTCAATCATAGCATGGCGCTCTCATGAATAATGTAGCCCTTGGTATCTCAGCTACAGAAATACACCAACCAACCCCTCACCCCTCTCAAAAAGGAGAAAGAAACTATAGAGCCAAAGTTAATGCTGTTCAGCTTGGTATTAACTTTAGATGGAATTTCCTTCTGGATAACATACTTTAATAGGTGAGCATGCTGCACTGAGTGTTTGCACGCCAGCTCTACACACTGCCTCCACAATCACTGTTTCCATAGCAGTCGGTGATGCAGAAGGCAAGCAGTTGTAGGAAATGTATAGAAGCCTGTATTTGTCCAGTAGCAGTTTAGGCAACAACTCACATTCCTAAACTCCAGGTAATGCAGCAAACTAGGTTCCTCCAGAAACCTGACCCTCTTTCTCTGGTCCCATTCATCATACTACACACAAAATGTGTAACATCCTTCTATTTGGGGGACGAGCATGTCATATAAGCTTTGCTCTCTGCGCTCTATGTTTAGTCATATCTGGCCATTATTTGTGCTCCTTTATTCTCCCCTCCCCCTTTTGCTGTGTACTAGAGAGCTTGATCTGGCCTTCAGATTTGGAAATACTATACTGGAAACCTGGGTTTCAATCCTTCAGTTAATTTCCCATTCCTTCACCATGCCCTGAAGGTTAGGGGTTTGGAATTGATTAAAGTAATTGGGGAACGCCACAAATAGACAGAAAATGCACAGTAGGGAAATCATTAGCACTGGAGATTAGTGCCAAAAGATAAACTTTTCACCGCTCAATCCTCCAGTTTCTGCACTTGCCTGAGTAATATTAATGTCATGGTTAAGAGCAGTAGTGGGCAACCTGCGGCCCATCAGGGTTTTCCGCTAGTGGCCGCCAGACAGTTTGTTTACATTTGCACAGCTGCCCGCAGCTCCCAGGCCGCAGTTCGCCGTTCCCGGCCAATGGGAGCTGCAGGAAGTGGTGGATAGCATGTCCCTGTGGCCTGCACCGCTTCCTGTATATACTATTGGCCGGGAACGGCGAACCACGGCCACTGGGAGCTGCGGGCGGCAGTACAAACGTAAACAAACTGTCTGGAGGCTACCAGCAGATTACCCTGATGGGCCGTGTGCGGCCCTCAGACTGCCCATCACTGGAGTAGAGGGTTTGCTGAGATTTAACTGGCTGCTAGGATTGTGCAAAAATGATACAAACTCTGTTTTCCCAGTTCCCCCACCTGTCATATATATGATGACCATTACATGAGTCTGTTGACAGTTCTAGACTCTTCCAATCGATAAGGCAGAAACTTTAGACAATTCCCAAATTGAGGTCTGTTTCATAGTGTCTATGAAACTCTCTGTAAAAACCAAGAGAATCCACCTATCCTGAAATGTTTATTAAACATGGTGAAAAAATGTGATCTATTCTCTCTGACGTTCACTTGGATATTAGTTATAACCAGAGTGCCAATACCATTAATATTTTTACCTAAAAAATTTCCTATCCCCTGGAAAATAAATACAAAGTAATTTATGATAGAATACAACAAAGGGGGAGGATTGCTTGTGCCACCTAGCTCTGCATAAATGACCACACAAGTACAATAGGGACAGGTTCTTTTACTTTCCCCCTTATGTAACTGCTTTCTATTTCTAATTCTTCCATCTCAACCAAAGGTGGCAAAGGTAGAAAGATAGATTTTGCTTCATGGCACTGAGTATCCATTCAGGTTCCAATAATATCTTGACCAAATTCCCTTTACATAGTCCATTGTGCACAAACATGTGGCTGCAATTTTTCTGTCTTCTTTCCCTCAAAGTCTAAGTTTTTATTTGTTCTGATTTTTTTTATTGGGTAGGGGGATTAAAATGGCCTCCCATGTATATTCCCACACTACTCTTGAGCCTAACTTCATTTCAACCCACCCTTTCAAATAAAGGCAGACAATGCCTGGGGAGAGGATGCTGGGAGGATTACTTAATAGCAACATGATACATGCCTTTCCAAGAGAGATCAAATACACTATTTCTACAGATCTCCCAGTCTAGGAACTTCAGCTATGAAATTAAATCCCTGATGTTGCCTGGCCTTACATCTCTGAGGTTGCAGAGCATTGTACTAAAAGTACACCACTACATTGTCTTAACTGCTATACATTTGTGGCATTCCAGTCCTACTGCTGATTTTAAATCAACCTTTAGTTGTAATTTTACTGACAAATTTTTCTCATCTATCCCAGTGTTCATTAAGTATAGTACCAAGCGCAGTCAGAACATGGCTCATTCTCTCTTTCTGATGGAATCCACCAGGCAGTCAAAATACTTTGTACTCTAGAGCATTACAGATTGTAGCCACAAGATGGTGATCACTATTCACTATTTATATGTGTCTGCAGTTAAAGTTACACTGATTTAACTCAAGAGATTTAAAATTGAGTTAAATCAGTACAACCCCCTAATGCAGATACATTTAAATTGGTTTAACCTTTGCTCAAAAAGGGTTTGATCTGCATTTAATCAATTTTAAATTTAAGTTTAGTTAAAACAGTGCAACTTTTCTAACACACAAGACATCTAAGTATATTTGTCTTGATAAACCTGTCACAGTACTAGAAGATGATCTACGGATCACTCTTTTTACATCTTTCTAAATGAAAGCTAGGTTGTGTGTGTGTTTGGGGGAGGGAGGCAGGACTATGATACTGTCTATCAAAAGAAGCTTACTCAAAAAAAGCAATTTTTCAACATTATTCCCAGGACTACTGTGCAGCTGATGAATTCGATCTGGATGGGAGTACATAGGGGCTAGAACTAGGGGTGCTGCTGCACCCTCTGGCTTGAAGTGGGTTTCATCATATACAGGTTTCAGAGTAGCAGCCGTGTTAGTCTGTATCCGCAAAAAGAAGAACAGGAGGACTTGTGGCACCTTAGAGACTAACAAATTTATTAGAGCATAAGCTTTCGTGGACTATAGCCCACTTCTTCGGATGCATATAGCTGTCACCTTCAGCCCCCAACTAAAACCTCTCCAGCGCATCATCAGAGATCTACAACCTATCCTGAA